CATATTTAGGAATATTTTGTAGATCATTTTAATTATGATTCTTTAAAAAAATATATTTCTCAGAAGTAATTTCACACAGAAATTACATTGTTTAAGTGCACATACTATAGCTAATTTTGTATAAAGATTTTATCACAGGCAACCTGTTAGGAATTAAACATTTCCAACAAATAAAAGGAATAAAAGACAATAATCTAGAAAGAACAATTTATCTAGACTTCCTTTCTTGATATATATATATATATCAAGAAGAAGAGAATAATGAAAAATATATACACACATATATTTTTCATTATTCTCTTCAGAAAAAACTGACATAATGCCATGTTCCTGCTGCACCACCAGGGAGGGCCCTATTTTTTTTTTTTTATTTAAAAGAAAAATTTAAAGTTTTTTTTTTTCTTAAAAAAAAATAAAGGCACAGGATGTGATAGAAGCTCTGTTATTTACTAGATCTACAGTGATGGGTACAAGAAGGGTCTCTAATATAACATCTTATATGGATAGAAATAATAAAATATTTCATATGTATTTACATAAAATAATGAAACAAAGAAAAAAATAATTAAAGTTCTGAATATACACATAATATATTATGGAAAATGGGACCTGTCCATAAAATGCCACAATGATAATATATCCAATAATTATGCAAACCCAGCACTTGAGGGCTTGGACTCCCTATATGTTGAGAACAGACCTACTCAAGATAGCCATGTTGGCAAGGGGGTTATTTCAAACTAAAGTTAATTGAGGTCTTGCAGGCTCAGGAGAAACTATTACCATACCTTTCACTCTAAAAGAATGAAAATTGATGATATTGCCCAGATTTAGGGTTACATGCAGAAATAGCCTATCCAAGATGCCGATTTATATGGAGGAACAACAAGTAATTACAGAGCACCTGGTGCTTTCATCAGGTGAGTCTCCTTGCTCACACCTTAAGCTCCAGGACTCTCTCCCGTTCCTTAGCTCAGGTTATGTAACCCCATTTTGTTCCACTGGCTTTAAATCCTAATTTCTATACAGATTCCCCATACATACATAATTCAATGTGTTTTTCCCCCCGCTACTAATCTGTTTTAATTTGATTATTGATCAGATGGGTAAAAGTACATTGCCTCTCCTCCCAAGCACATACATAATATGTACATGTTCATGTTTACTTTTTATATATATAAAGTAAAAGCAAAAATTTGTACAAAATAATACACTAAATGCAAACTCAGAAGCATCTTCATATACTACTAATTAAACTTAATTTTCTATCATATTTTTTCATAAAACTGCATACAGAATCTTAAGAAAATTACTATTGGTGGGGAAAAATAAAGTGACTATGTCTTCAATAGTAAATGGTATCTGTTAACAAGGATTAGTGGCAAGGTAAACATTGTTATTTTAGTGATCTTCCATTGCAGTTTTTTGTTAAAAAAGAAACCAAGGAACTACAGAAGTTATATACCAATACACACACACACACACAGTGTTAGTTAACAATTACTAATGGTTTGCAAGTCATTTCACATAATTAAGAAATATACAATAACTCACGTAGTTATATACCAATACAGAAGTTATATACCAATACACACACACACACACACACACACACAGTGTTAGTTAACAATTACTAATGGTTTGCAAGTCATTTCACA